ACGTGGAAGATAAACACACAGTTAAAGAGAAAAATTGGTGGTTACCAAAGGGGAAGGGGGTGGGAGGAGGGTCAAAGGGGTAAAGGGGCACTTATGTATGGTGCCAGATAAAAATTAGACTATTGGTGGTGAACACGATGCAGTCTATACAGAAACTGAAATATAATAATGTACACTTGAAATTATACAGTGTCATAAACCATTATGACCTCAATAAAAAAAGATTCCCTTATTTGTTTTTCTACTAATTTGTTATCTCTTGCGCTCCCCAGCAGACTGTAAGCAACTGCTTTTCTGCACTCCAGTGTCTGCAAAAATGTGTGGCATATAGTAGGTGCTCGATAAATATTTGTTGACTGATTGACTCTCCTTATGTTTATCTTCCACATTTTTCTGTGCTCTTTCTCCCCTACCCAACCTCCCTCTGCTCCACTAACAATCAAATCCTCCTACTTTGCCCTCTGGATCCTCAGTACCATGGAAAAGAACTTTCCCTGCATCCTCAATCTCTTTACCACACACTTCACTTCTTCCTCCTGCCTCTCTGAGGGCTCTCTCATGAGACTAAGACTTCTCCTGCAGGTCATAAGGCTGAAAGTTAAGGTTGACTTTCTTTCTGCTCCCCATTGATGCTCTTGACCCTGACCCTTCCACCCTTTTGTAAACTCCTCTTCTTCACTGCTGCAGATTGGCGATGCTTTCCTGTTGTTTCAGCACATGGTAAAGTCAAAGGTCACAACCGCAGGACAAAGGAATAATCAATGTGTCCATACCTGTTTCTTAGTGCATGGGGGGATCTACTCATCCCATAATCCCAGAGCCGTTCCACTGCAGCAATAAAATAATGTCGTGTTCTCTTTTGAAAGCTGCGGGGGTCCTGATTTTCATCCTCACCATAAATGTCAAAATCTTCTCTCTTTGTTTCAGTTGAGAAGGTATCATCATAGTCAGTTTTGTCTTCCTCTGGCTGAACAGTAGTAAAGGTTATTTGCCTCTGATGGCGTTTCAAGACTGGTGGGTTTTGAGAGCACAACCTTCCAGTCTCTTCTTGCTTTGCCCAGGTGGTTTCTCTTTGGGGCTTATCTTGTCCTTTATTTATTGCTGCTATTGAATTATTTTTTTCACAAGGGTCCAAGGGTGAAATGGTGTCCTTTGTCTTAAAAGCTTTGTTTTTTTGAGACTTCTCTTGGGAGTTCCACTCTTCTCTTGGTATTTGAGTAGCAAGGGGACCCAGCAGTTTGGAGGGAGTCTTTTTAGAGCTTTCTGCTGCCCATTTCAGAAAGGGTATTTTCCAAGGTCCATTTACTTTATTCAATTTAACAGGTTCCTGTGTTTTCTGAAGGACAATCTCTTCCATGAGATCCAGGTGGCCAGGGGAGCCATTGCTAGGTTTCGTAGGGAAAGAGTCTTCCTGATGAACATGAACTTTAGGAAGTAATTCAACTTTGCCAGATGCTTCAGACAATCTCCCCAGGGAGCTGATCTTTCCTTGACCTCTCATCATTTCCAAGGTTAGGAAGTCTAAAGAAAGGTTATTTCTTTTGGCTCCTTGTAAGAAATGACTGCTTTCTTGGATCCCAGAACTCTTCTCCCTAAAGGTATAACTACAGGCTGCTGCTAGAAGATGAGAAGAATTGCCTTGGGATGGGGTCTTGGTCAGATCTGTAGGTGTAATTGATGGAAATGCTGATACCTTTGCAATGGGTAATGCAGAGCCATTCGTTTGAATGATGCCATGACTCCTCACAGAACAATCTGATAGGAGGGACTGAGTAATGGCCTTTTTCTCCTTCTCATTGTACTCTATCTGTGTGAGGGTTCCCTGGGTCAAATATTTCATGTTTTTGGACCAGTGGGTTGAGGTGTCATTCAAAATTACCCCCCTTTCAAGTTTTATTTCTTCTTGTGGGAGTCTGAATTGTTTCAAAGCCCGCTTAGCATGGTGAGTGATGACATTCTGCTGACGTGGATTAGGAGATATCCTTGTGGTGCTCAGATACCTCTCTACCATTTGCTTTGTTTGATTTCCCAAGCCTTCCAAGTTTGCTTCCTCCCTTATTTTTGAGAAATGGGCCATGTGAATCCTTGCCGTATTTGCTGACTCATTTAATGACCTGTTGTCTTGAAGTATTGGAGTATATGTCCCCTCATCTGAACCTTCTACATTTTGCTTAGTGCTTAGTAAGAAAAGATTCTTCAGGAAATTCTTAGTGCCAGTCACTGTATACACCTGAGGCAAAGCTACATTCTTTTGGATTAATTTTTCCTTCCATTCTATCTCTTCCTGGGAGTTTTTTTCTTGACTGTGTGTATCATTTTCTTGGATATTAGCCAAGTTAGTAAGAAATATGCTCTTACTGTTTGGAAAAATCATCTCTTGGAGTCCTGTGTGCTTTTTAAATTCATCTTCTCCTACTACCACCTTGTTCTTCTCTGACAAGAAATTCTGATCTTTCACAGATTTTTCTGATCCTAAAGATGTTAATTGCTTTGGACTGGGCCTTTGCCCAGAGCTCAGGGAGTTCTCGCAATGGGTCCTTTTTATCCAATTTGCTGAATCTTGCAAGAGCAGCATCTTGAAGAATGATATATCTGGATTTTCTGCACCTAGTGGCGCAGGGTCCTCTTTTTTTTGGTGGACCATGTCCATATTTTTTGATGAGGTAGTTTTATTTGACACATGATTTAGCCCCAAAGCTGTAGTATTGTTGTCCATAAACGTTTCATCATGAATCAAAGAAGTCATTTCTTGAAACCCACTATTACTTTCTAATATAATGTCTTGCCAGACTGATGTACTATTCTCAATTAATAATGTTTGGCCATCAATGTGAGCCTTTCTATTAGTTGTTGAGTTAATTGGTGTCTTGTTTGTCTTTACCAAAGAGAAATTAACTTTGAATAAAGCATTATCTTTGGTCAATGAAACAGGTCCATGAACTTCTTCCTCTTTAAATAACCTGTCACTTTCCACTGATAATACATTTTCTTCCAGTGAACTTTCTTGACTATTCATTAAAGCTGCTTTAGTCAACGTGGAATCATTATCTCCTTCACTCAAGTCCAAAGGTCTAGCAGACTCAATAAGGTGAGATGAATTTTTGCCAAATACAATGGTGCCTAATTGACTACTAAAGTGAACTGGCATATTTGGGGGTCCTAAGGAACCTGTCTTTTCAGTACCTGCTTCCAACTTGTCTGATGGAATTGTTGGTGAAATCATTAGATTGTTTGATGAACTAGAAATTTTTAAATCAAGTTTCTTCAACTCTACTGTTATAGTTGTCGCCAAATTCTCATTTAATCTTAATTTCAGTTCTGGTTCAGGGGTAAATACTCTATCCCCACTGTGATGGAGCTCTGGTCTGAGACGTGCCACTTCAGATGGGCCCTTGTTTCTTTCTATTGTTCTAGGCAAATGATCATCAGCCTCATATGTGACTTCTTGGAGATCAGGTAAGGATAATGCATGTGGAGTAGGATTTTGTCCCAAGATCATCAACAAATCACCAGAGGAGACACTTTGTACCGTAAGCAGCTGTGTTCTCTCTCCAGACCGAAGGTCAATCTTCTCTACGTCATTTTCTGGAGTTGTGGTGGCTCTGAATTGCTTTTGCCTAGTGCTAGGGTGCCTTGAATTCTGGGAGAAGCTCCTGGGTTCAATGACATTATTTTCATTCAGCAGGGAGGTTGGAATATCTTCATATGTGTCCTCATAATAATCACCAGTGTTCCTGTTACAACTAGAAACCTTCAGTAAGGCTGTCATGCCTCTGTTCCGAAAGTCTGAGTTGTGGCACCCCAGAACCCACAGACCTGGAGATGAGGAAGAATAAGATTCTGGTTACTCATAACTCAGGTCCCAAGCAAGTTCTGTGTTAGAGGTTCTCTCTTATTCCCAGATAAATGAAAAAATACTAGCACTAGTCAGTACCATTATATTACAGGTCACTGGGTTAAATCCCTGACACATGTGATAATAGTCCAACAGTGGTAGTAAAAATTGTTTTTCCATGGCTACTGTTGTGATATATCTGTTTGTGACCACAAGAAAGGGCTGTGATTAAAAATGAATAGACACTAGGATAAAAATTGAGAAATGTATTTAACAAACACAATAGTGGAGAGTCTTAATAGTCACACAGAACTCTTTGATGATGACAGTGCCTTAATTCAGGAAAGTTTATATAGGCTAGCTGTTATTGCTATATAGCATAGTGGCATAGGTTCTAGAATCAAATTGCCTAGGTTCAAATCATAGCTCTACCATTTACCAGCTGTGTGACTTTGAGCAAGTCAATTGAGCTGAGTTCCGGTTTTCTAATTTGTAAGTGAAGCTAATGGTATCTACCCCATCATATAATGCATTCAAATCACATAACACAATGCCTAGCATCCACTGTCACCAATTTATGGGATAAGTAAGCACAAGGGAGCAGGACTTAGGTTTAGGATACACATAATATAAAATCCCACCACAGTGCTAGCAATATTAATTTCTACTATGGACAGAATTATCTGAGTGAAGGCACTTCATGGTGGTAAAGTAGATGCATAAGTGTAAGTGAAAAAGGACACCTTTACCAAGCTCCACATCAGGTACCTCAACAGCCTCATCATCTTACACAATATTTGCAAAATCTGAACTGAATCCAGCTTTATCTCAAAGGGAAGACTTTCCCCAAAGTATATTTCCACAGAGCCCTGTGAGATAATGGGATGCCCATGGAAAACGTTTATTTGGTCAAACATAAATTTTGGAATTAATGCACACTGCACTCTATGTGCAGCCAGATAATCAATCAAATGGGAAATGAGAATAAAGACATTTTCTAACATACAAGGATTCAGAAAATCTACCTCTAATGCAGCCATTCTCAGGAAGTGATTAGAGAATGTTTTCTACCAAAATAAAGGAGTATATTAAAAAATAGGAAGACATAGGCTCCAGGAACCAGGCACTATCCTGAGGTAGGGTGAAGAAAAGTCCCAAGTGGATAACTGAGCCTCAGAGCTAGAGAGAACCAGCCCAGATTTGAGTAGGAGGGTGAATGGGTCCAGGAGGTCAGTCTCTAAGTAAAAAAGAATATGTTGTATGATGGAACTCTTGAAAAAAAGAGAATAAGTAAAGGGAAAACATTAAAAAAAGAACAGGAAGGGGCCATCCCAGTGGTGTAGTGGTTAAGTTCGTGTGCTCCACTTCAGCAGCCCAGGGCTCGCAGGTTTGGATCCTGGGCACGGACCCACACACCGCTTATCAAGCCATGCTGTGGCAGGCGTCCCACATATAAAAATGTAGAGGAAGATGAGCACAGATTTTAGCCCAGGGCCAATCTTCCTCAGAAAAAAAAAAGAACAGGAGGACAATTAGAAGTTCCAGTTAAACAAGTTATAAAAATAGGAAATGTAATCTTTATTTGGTTCCACAGTGAACATTTATATAGTCCTAATAATGTGATTTCACTAAGTATAGGGACATAACTATATCATAAATTTGGGGATTGGGAGCCCAATTTCATGATATTTAAAGCATATTTTTGATGGTATAAAACCATGTTGAGTCAGAGTGGACCAGGATTGGAGCTGAAATGAGTATTTAAATAAGGTTTTAACTCTTAAAATTCCACTGTTATAACTTATACAAAACTAATATCTTCCTTTTATGGAGGAGAATGGTAAGTGGGTAAGAAAAGGGGAAATGAAACTCCATAAACAGGTCTGGAATGACATACACCAAACTCTGTGAAGGGCCTGGGATTGGGAATAATGATGAAGAGGGACTTTAGTTATATCTGTATTGGTTGAATTTGTAATGAGAACATCTTTTTGTCTTACATGTGTGAATAAAGATAAATTTAAAACAATTAATTAATTAATCTCAGTTCAAGAGCTTAAAGAAGAATTGATTCTTTGATTAAAAAACTGGATAAAATCAATAACTAAATAAAAATAAGAAATTCCACATGTACAAAATTTGAAAGAAGAAAGGACATATAATCACAGATGCAAAGAAAATTAAAAGAATTATAATTCCTTTGGAGACACCTCAGCTGCCAATCTCCTCCTCCAACTTCTGACACAGGCATAGGATGCCTGGCCAAGTTTAAGACTTGGTCAGCATTATAAATATATGAAACCAGCTTCCTGCTTCAGTGATATAACCAAGGCTTTCAGTGAACTAATTAATTTTGTAAGCTGTTATCCAATCCTGGAACTATTCCCTATCAAAGTAACCCAGCGCGACAGAGCCCAGCTAATCACAAGTGGGTAGGAGCACATCTCAGGCTTCAATAGACAAGAGTTCTTTAACCATCCAAGGCTAGTACAATATCCCTAGTATGGAATTTTAAGCAATCTTTTTAAATGATGATGTTCATCAATACTTATTGGCACAGAAAAACATCAAATATATTATTAAGTGAGGGGAAAAAAGCAGGTTACAAAACACCCTCATCATTCTACTATCTGTTTCTATGAGTGCAACTTGTTCTTTTGTTTTAGATTCCCCATATAAGTGGTTCCATACAGTATTTGTCTTTGTCTGGCTTATTTCACTTAGCATAATGCCCTCCAGGTTCATCCATATTGTCACAAACGGCAGTTTTCCCTTCTTTTTTGTGGATGAATAACATTCCATTTTACATATACATATATAAATATATATATATGATATATATATATATATCACATCATCTTTATCCATTCATCCATCAATGGACACTTAAGTTGTTTCCATGTCTTGGCTACCGTCAATAATGCTGCAATAAACATGGGAGTGATGATATCTCTTCAAGATACTGTTTTCATTTCCTTTGGATATATACCCAGAAGTGGGATGGCTGGATCATACAGTAGTTCTATTTTTAATTTTTTGAGGAATCTCCATACTGTTTTCCATAGTGGCTGCACCAGTTTACATTCCCACCAACAGTGCACAAAGGTTCCATTTCTCCACATCCTTGCCAACACTTGTTATTTCTTGTCTTTTTGATAATAGTCTTCCTAAAAGGTATAAGGTGATAACTCATTGTGGTCTTGATTTGCATTTCCCTGATCAATAGTGATATTGAGCACCTTTTCATGTACCTGTTGGCCATTTGTATGTCTTCTTTGGAAAAATTTAATGGTATCCCATAAGTCCTGTAGGCTTTCTTCATTCTTTTTTTTTTTTCCTCCTCAGACTGGATAATTTCAAAAGATTTGTCTTTGAGTTTGCAGATTCTTTCTTCTGCTTGATCAAGTGTGTTGTTGAAGCTCTCTATTGCATTTTTTTATTTCATTCATTGTGTTCTTTTTTTTTTTTTGCCGAGGAAGATTGTCCCTGAGCTAACGTCTGTTGCTTATCTTCCTCTTTTTGCTTGGGGAAGATTGTCACTGAGCTAACATCTGTGCCAATCTTCCTCTATGTTTTTGTATGTGGCATGCCACCTCAGCATGGCTTGATGAGCAGTATGTAGGTCTGCACCTGGGATCTGAACCCGCGAACCCCAGGCTGCTGAACTGGAGCAGGTGAACTTAACCACTACACCACTGGGCCAGCCCCCATTCATTGTATTCTTAAGCTCCAGGATTTCTAGGTGGCTTTTCTTATGATTTCTATCTCTTTGTTGAACTTCTCCTTTTGTTCCTGTATTATTTTCCTAATTTCATTGAGTTGTCTATCTGTATTCTCTTGTATCTTCCTGAGCTTCCTTAAAATAATTATTTTGAATTCCTTTTCAGGCAATTTGTAGGTCTCCATTTATTTGGGGTCAGTTACTGGAAAATTATTGTGTTCCTTTGGTGGTGACGTTTCCTTGTTTTTTTTGTGTTTCTTATGGCCTTGCATTGATTTCTGTGTATTTCAGGGAGCAATCACCTCTTCCAGTCTTTATGGACTGAGTTTGTGGGAAAAGACTTTCACCTGTGGGTGGCTATGAGCATGCTGGCTGGGTGAGGATCAGCAGCTCCAGTTCCAGGGAAGGCATGGCAGCATAGCCTCCATGCAGCTCTGTCAGATGAGGTCAGTGTCAGCAAAGACTATGAGGGGTCTCTGGTGGCCAAGACTGTGAGTGTCTGTGGTGGCTGTGGTGGTTACTGTTATCAGACTCCTGGGTGGGGAAGACTGGGGCTCTCCTTTTCACCCACAGGGGTAAGTCCTGGGGGTTCCTTCTTGGTGCTGGGTCTGGCATGGGAGCACACAGGCCTCAGTAGTGGTGCTGGGTTCTAAAGCAGAGATGTGCATGCACCACTGTTTGGGGTGTGTGCTCAGAGTAGCAGTGAAGTCAGGGTCCCAGGTTCAGGTGTGCATGGAACCCCATGGCTCCTGGGTCTTGGGGCATCGGCACACCTGCTGTGATGGTGCCAGTGTCCAAGGCATAGGCACACACAGGTTGCCTATGGAGCTGGGGTCCAGGTCTCTGGGGGCATGCCACATCAGCTCAGGCCCTGGTGGGTGGAGTGCAGTGGTGGCTTGGTGTTTGGAGGGCAGGGTACAGCAGCAGCATGGGTCCCAGGGATGATGGGGCACTGCAGTGCCTCAGGCCCTGGGGAGCAGGCCACAGCAGCAACTCAAGCCCTGAGGGCGGCAGGTGTTGTGGAGGCCCAGGCCTTGGGGGAAGGGCACAGCAGCAGCACATCCCTGGGGAGAGGATGTAGCTCCTTCTCTGGGGAGAGCACAATAGCTTGGACTCTGAGAAGCTCTGTCAGCTGGCTTCAGTATCTGTGAAAACTATGGGGGTCCTCAGGTGCTGAAGGTTTCAGGTGTCTCTGGTGGTGACAAGAGTTGCTAGGGTTTTCCTGTTCTCCTTTCCCCATGAAGGGAAATCCCTCAGAGGCAGAGGGAATCCCCCTTGGCACCAAGATGTTCCAGACTGAGGGATGGAATGACACAGGTAAAATGTTTCCTATGCTTTTCTACGTGGCCATCCTTGCTTTTTTTTGCTCCGCTGTGTTTCTGATGCTTCTTCATTGTGCTCTGAAGTTGTCCCAGAGCTATTTTCATTGGTATGTAGTTATTTATTTGTTGTTTTTGTGGAGGAGACGAGTTCTGGGACCTCCTAGTCCACCATCTTACTGATGTCACTCCTCTGGAGTGGCATTTTTAAAGTGCTGGGGAAAAAACGCCAATAAAACAAAGCAAAGCAAACCTATCAACCCAGAATTCTATACACAGTGAAAATATCATTCAAAAATTCAGGAGAAATAAAGTCTTTTTAGACAAGCAAAAACTGAGAGAATTAATTAACCAGCAAACTTGCACTACAAGAAATGTTAAAGAGGGGCTGGCCCGGTGATGCAAGCGGTTAAGTGCGTGTGCTCCACTGCGGCTGCCCGGGGTTCGCCGGTTCGGATCCCGGGCATGCACCGACGCACCGCTTGGCAAGCCATGCTGTGGCAGCATCCCATATAAAGTGGAGGAAGATGGGCATGGATGTTAGCCCAGGGCCAGTCTTCCTCAGCAAAAAAAAAGAGGAGGATTGGCAGATAGCGCAGGGCTGATCTTCCTCACAAAAAAAATGTTAAAGAGATATATTATAAATATAAGGGCACAGATAGGTTGAAAGTACAAGAATGGAAAAATATATACCACACGAACATTAACCAAAATAAAGGTGGTTGAGGCTCATAAATTTCCGACAAAGCAGGGGTTAAGGCGGCAAGTACTACTTCAGACAAAGAAGGATACCTTACAATGATAAAATGGCTAATTTAATGAGTACATAACAATCTTGAATTTGTAAGCACCTAATTTTATTTTGCCTCATTTATTTTGAAACACTGTAACAGATATGAAGAGAAAAATAACAAACTCAACAGTCATAGTTAGAGTTCAACACAATTCTCTCAGTAACTGTAAGAAGCAGATAAAATATCCTAAACTTACAAGGATTTTAATAACATGATAAAGCTACTTGACATACTTGACAAATATGTGACAGTCCACCCACACTGCGGAAAACATACTCATTTTATGTGCAAATGGGCCATTAGACCAAGTAAACCATACACTGGGCATACAGCAAGTCTCAACAAATTCCAAACAATTGAAATCATATTGAGTATGTTATATGACCACAGTAAAGTAAAAACAAGAAATCAGCAACAGAGAGATAACTAGAAAATACCCACAATGGATATCAGAAAATATTTCAAACTCAGCGATGGTAAAAATATGACTCATCAAAACTTGTGATATGAGGGTGGTTTTTTCTATTCTTATGTGTTTTATTCAAAATTGAGGCACAAAAAAAGAAACAAAAGGCATGTGGTTGGAAAGAAAATACTGAAACTGTCAATATTCGCAGACAATTTGTGTACACAGAAAACTTTATGGGAATCTATAAAATAACTGCTAGATCTTATAAGTGAATTTAGCATGGTTGCAAGACACAAGGTCAATATACAAAAATTAATTGTATTTCTTTTGCATGTGTGTTCCAATAAAACTTTATTTACAAAAATAGGTGACAAACCTGCTATTTACAAAAACAGGTGACCAACCTGCTGGCTATAGTTTCTTTTTTTATTGAGACATAAAGGACAGGTACCATTGTGTAAGTTTAAGGTGTACAACGTGTTGATTTGATACAGTTATTTATTGAAGTATGATTACCACAGTAGCGTTAGCTAACACCTCCACCACGTCACATAATTATCATTTCTTTTTTGTGGCAATATGTGGTTAAATCAGGGTGTAAAGTGAACTGTATAGTCATAAAAAGAATGATGCACTGATATACGATACAACATGGATGAATCCTTGAAAACATTATGCTGAGTGAAATAAATCAGATACCAAAAACAAATATTTCATTATTCTGTTTATACGAAATATCCAGAAGAGGCAAATCCATAGAGATAGAAAGTAGATTAGTGGTTGCCAAGGGCTGGGGGAGGGGTAATAGGGAGTGACTTAATGAAAGGGTTTCTTTTTGGGGTGATGAAAAAATCCTGGAATTAGATAGTAGTGATGGTTGCACAACATTGTGAATGTACTGGAAGCCACTGAGTTGTACACTTTTAAATGGTTAAGACGGTGAATTTTATGTTATGTGAATTTTACCTCAGTAAAATTTACCTCAGTAAACAAATAAAAGAGATCAGACTTTACCATACTGAACACGGGAAATCTTCTCTAAGAGCTTTATTTAGCTTGAGCTTTGTACTCAATGATACTATATTAAAAAATTTTCCCTCAAGACACAGAGTTTTAATTTGTCTTTAGAATTTAAGTGATCACCAAAGTAGTTTAAAAGCTTCTCAAAATATTGATATTTTAAATATTTTTTCTCTGCCTACACACACACACACACACACACATACACACACTTTTTCTCTTTGGTTTAGACAATTACAACCATATTATACATATTATTTTATAATATTTTCCACATATTTAATTAATTCATTCATTGAAAAAATATTTATTAAGCATCTACTATAGACCAGGCACTGTAAATATTGGGGATACAGTGATGAACAAGATAAACAAGGTCTCTGTCCTCAGAGAGTTTGCAACTTATAGGAAAACAGATAACAAAGACATAAACATAAATAAACAAGATATTTTCAGAGATGTTATTGGAGTTCTTTCAGGTTCTTCTTCATTCACTTCCCACAAAAATATATCACTTGAAGTAACATATGTTTCTGGGTATGAACATGAATATACATTTTTATATGATGAGATTGGTTTTTATTCCCCAGAAATTTCCCCATGAGGATTTATCTCCAGAAAAGCCATCAGTGTAAGAGAATAACTACAATCTGCTGGTAGTTTCATGTACTTCCCTCTGCAGATGATGGGAGTGGGAGGGATCAGGAGCATCCCCACGGAGTGGCCTAGTGCTTATTACTAAGCTGTATGAATGTAGTGACAATCTGTGTTGGATTTAGGCCAGGTCAGTGGTCCTCCTGATCACAGGGCTGGTGCTGTCAAAAACCTTGCAGTGGTTATCGAGGGAGAGGGAGGATGAGAAGCTGACAGCTACATTCGTCCTGAAGGCTTCACAGTGGTTTGAGGGTATGTGTGCAAAGGGAGATTACTATGCACTTCCCAAAGGCTTCTAGGTGGCATTTATCCAACAATACCAGTGTTCACAAAGCACACAGAAACATATTTAGCCCCCACATGTTAATTGCATGTATAAATATATTCACCACTACAGTTTACTAAACACACTAAAAACTTTGGCCCATAGCAAGTAAAGGCATTTTTTAGAGAAATGACTTTTAAGTTAAATACTTGATATGGTGCTGTCATTAAAATACCTTGTGATTACCAAAATCACTTGAACCATTTGATATCTGCCCAAATGTGAGCTAGTGTGCAAAAAAGCATATGAAAGGCTTGTGAAGCAATCACAGCTGTCAGTAAAAGAATAATGTAAATAACTAACCTGGGTTTTCCATTGACATGAAGACAGTTTCTCCTGAGAATGGGAATAGGGTAAGTGTGTCTTCATAGACCATTTTGTGTTTGAAGGTATATCCAGAGAAGAAGACAGAGAGAAAGTCAGTCTGTGCTCCAACACTTAGAATGTACCAGTATGCCACCTCATGCAAACAAACTGACAGCTGCAAGCTATCAAAAACATAGCCATTGATGCCTGCAAAAGAAATGGGGAAGAAGAGGTTTTAGCAGTATCCAGATTTATTATTTTGGATTGTCATGATGTGATTAGAAATGATTATATGTTATGCCCATTACCTTATTCCCAAGAAAAGATAGCATTATACCTTCCAAAAAAGTATATTGTTAATACTTGATCAGCTAGGTCCCAATCCCAAAGCGAGGAGAGTCATACACTATCATGGTAAAGATGGACTTGGATGCTATATGATGAGAGGGGCAGTTTGATGAGGAGCAGGGCATTTGCATGGTCTCAAAGTGTCTCCCTACAAACTGCTTATTAGTTGCAAGAGGAGAAACCAGAAAAAAAAACCTTGATTGGGTGATCAAAATTAACAGCTGCTAATGTTCCAAATTAAAGGAAACAAACATTTCAAAGAAGCAGGACACTAGATCCAGTGCAGGATCCAGGACTGGACCCTGAACTAGACGGAGGAAATGCTACAAAAGACAGCATTGATTGATACAATTGGAATATTGGCTGCCAGTTAGATAAATGTATCAATGTTAAATTTTCTAATTTCATAACTCTACTTGGGTTATATAAGAGAATATCTTTATTCATAGGAAATAGACAATGAAATATTAACAGATAAAGGGACATGATCTCTGCAACCTGTTCTCAAATGTAAAATAAGTAATAACAGCATGTATATAGAGAAAAGAGAGGATGATAAACCAAATACAGCAAAATGTTAAAAAATAATGAATCTGGGTAACGGGTATATGGGAGTTCTCTCTACTATTCTTGCAGCATTTCTGTAAGTGTGAAATTATTTCTAAATAAAAAGCTAAACAGGGGCCGGCCCCGTGGCTTAGCCGTTAAGTGCGTGCACTCTGCTACTGGCGGCCCGGGTTCGGATCCCGGGTGCGCACTGACGCACCGCTTGTCCGGCCATGCTGAGGCCGTGTCTCACATAAAGCAACTAGAAGGATGTGCAACTATGACATACAACTATTTACTTGGGCTTTAGGGAGAAAAAGGGAAAAATAAAATAAAATAAAAGCTAAACAAAAGTAACATTGACTTCAGTCTATAAAGGGAATTGTTTCTGAAAGCCTCTTCCATACATCTATCCATCCATCCATTCAATAAACGTTTGTCTACTCCGCAAGGTGGTGGCGCAAATCCAATAAGCAATGCTCAGACACTAGCTTAATGCAACTAATTGAGAATCAAAGTTTCTTGCCTTAGAAAGTATTAAAAGATATCATAAAGCTACTATAATTAAAAGCATGGTCTTAATACAGGTATAGATGAATATGTCAAGCAGAATATACAGTCCAGAAACAGACACAGATATGAATGGAAATTTAACATATGATAAAGGCAGCAGCTCAAACTAGTAGCAGAAAGAATGAGCTATTGGTAAATGCTGATGGAAAATATGACTATTCATATGGAGCCACAAAAGACCCTGAATAGCCAAAGCAATCCTAGAAAGAAGAACAAAGGCATCACACTTCCTGATTTCAAACTATAATACAAAGTGATAGTAATTAAAACAGTATGCTACCGGCATAAAAGCAGACACATAGACCAATGGAATAGAATCGAGAGCCCAGAAATAAACCTTCACTTACATGGTCAACTAAGATTTGACAAGGGAGCCAAGAACACTCAATGGGGAAATGACAGTCTCTTCAATAAATGGTGCTGGGAAAACTGGACAGCCACATGCAAGAGAATGAAACTGGACCCCTACATTATACCATACACAAAAATTAACTTGAAATGGATTAAAGACTTAAACATAAGATCTGAAACTGTAAAACTCCTAGAAAACATAGGGAAAAATCTCCTTGACATTGGTCTTGGCAACAATTTTTTGTATATGATGCCAAAAGCACAAGCAACAAGAGCAAAAATAGACAAGTGAGACTACATCAAACTAAAAGGCTTCTGCACAGCAAAAGAAACAATAAACAAAATGAAAAGGCAACCTGCGGAGTGGGAGAAAATATTTGCAAACCATGTATCTGATAAGGAGTTAATATCCAAAGTATAGAAAGAACTCATACAACTCAATAACCAAAAATCAATCTGATTTTTAAAATGGGCAGAAGAACTGAATAGACGTTTTTCCAAAGAAGACATACAAATGGCCAATAGGTACATGAAAAGATGCTCAACATCACTAATCATCAGAGAAATGTGATCATCAGTGAAATAATTCAGACAGAGAGACAAATACTGTATGATTCCACTGATATGTAGAATCCAAAAGAGCTGAACTCACAAAAACAGAGAGTAGAATGATGGTTACCAGGGGCTTGAGGGTGGAGGAAATGGGGAGATGTTGTTCAAAGGGTACAAACTTCCAATTATAAGATGAATAAGTCCTAGGGATCTAACGTACAGCATGGTGATTATAGCTAATAATACTGTGTTATATACTTGAAAGTTGCTAAGAGAGTAGATCTGAAACATTCTCATCACATAACAGAAAAAAGAAATGATAACTATGTGCCATGATGGAGGTGTTAGCTATCGCTATGGTCGTGATCATGTTGCAATATATAAGTGTATCAAAAAAACACAGTATACACCTTAAACTTACGCAATGTTATATGTCAGTTACCTCTCAATAATGCTGGGAAAAAACAAGCAACAACAGACTTTGTATGAAGGGTAAAATTTCAAGGGTAATTCCCTTCGAATGAAATAGAAGTGTGCATAACTCCCAAAATAGTACAGGAAAAAGATAGAATTTAAAAAAATCTTAACCAAAAAAGCAATAAAGAAGAAAAAATGAAAAATTCAGAAAAAAATAGGAAACGCAAAATAAGATAGTACAAATAAATCCCATGCAGATGGGCTAATCCCCACTTAAGAGAGAGATGGTCAAATTGGATTTGAAAAAGATCAAACATATAACCCTTCTTCTCTAGACTCATCTTGCCACACTCTTTCATGATATAACTTACATGATTTTGTTCTTGAAATGAAGTGGGAATAAAGTGATAGAGATATGCATACAAACATTGAGGAAAGACTCCTAACTCAGAATGATTACAACATATCATACTGTCTTGAAAAACATATCATACGCTACATACACATATATCCATGCCTATGGTTTTTGTTTTGTGGTCATTGTTTATTTTACAAAAATGAGATCATATTACAGACACTTTTCTGCACCTGTGTCTTATTATTCAACAATACCTCATAGAAATTGCTCTAAGTAGCCTGGGTCTAGCTCTAATTCATTCTTTTTAATGGCGTCATAGTATTTCATTTTACGGGTGTGCACAATATATTCAAACATTCCTCTAATGATAGATATTGTCTTTGTTTTTAGTTTATTTGTTGGAGTACTACGAACTGCTACAACACATCCTATACATCTGCACTTATGTACTGGTGCTTTTATTCCTTTGGGGTATAGCCCAGCAGTAGGAATGTTGGGTCAAAAAGCATATATATATTTATATTTATATAATATAAATATAAATTTATTTATATATTTTATAAAGTTTATATAATATATATTTAATTGGAAAAAATTTACATATAGTAAAATTGATTTTGATTTGGTGTACAGTTCTATGAGTTTCAGCACATATATTGATGTGTGTAATCACCAGCACAATCAGGATGTAAAACATCTCCATCAACATAAAAAACTTCGTTGTACTGGAGCTTTCCATTGCAAACAGTCAAAGTCCTGCCTACTCCCACCTAAGCCCTGACAACCACTGTTCTATTCTCCATCCTGATACAATTGCCTTTCCCAGAATGCCTTGTAAATGAAATCACATAGTATGTCATCTTTTGAGACCGGATGCTGTCACACAGCTTAATGCCTTTGAGGTTCATTCAAGTTGTGTGTATCAATAGTTCATTCTGTTTTATTGCTGAATAGTATTCCATTGTATAGATGTAGCACAGTTTGTTTAACCATTTGCTTAACGTAGGATATTTTGATTGTTGCCAAGTTTTTGTTTTTGCTTTTTATAAAAACTGGCCGATTTACTCTGCAGGGGCCCATTTTCCAGACACTAAAGGTGAAGGTAGGAGAGAAGAGGTTTCCTCCCCTTTTCCTTTCTCTGTCATGTGTTTTCCCCAGGGGATAAAAATGGCCTGTACCCTTTTATTTAGGCCTACCTAAATAAAAAACCAAAAAAATTGGGTTTACAACAAGTTACAACATCTTAATTCCTTATAGAAAAGAGGAAGGAGCCAGAGGGAAGGGAAGTCCCTGGGGTGTGGGAAGGCACCTCCAACTTGATGGGACATCCCCCCTTAAATAGCTGCCCCAAATGGGACAAGCCTGGCGCTATAGCATTTAAAAACTCCTCAGACTCAATTTTATCAAAAGCAAGAGAAAAAAATTTTCCAAGTGCGATGGGGAGTGGGAAAGATACATTCTTCTGTAGTCTTCAGCGAATTCCAAGTCAAGTCACGGTAGGAAAGCAGGGTGACAGGTGGGGTGTGCGGAAAGGACAAAAGTGATCTTTTGGGGCCCTGTGGTCTGGGGGGCAGGGGAACACCGCTTTCTCAGCTCCTGGACAAAGGCTTCAATTATTTCCTCTTAACTCTCTGCAATTCTTTCATCACCTCTTCCAGAAGCTCCTGTTTCTCTCCTACTTTTGTGACTTTCCTTCTTGGGGCCGCTTGGTGGGCAGGCAGAATACCCATGGGTGAGTGCTCCAGGGGTGCTCCTGGCTCAAGACTCGGGGATTTGGAGCTGGCATAGGTTCTCTGATTGTTTCCAAGTTTTAGCGATTATGGATAGAGCTGCTATAAACATTCATGGACAGGTTTTTGTGTGAACATAAATTTTCATTTCTCTAGGCTAAATACCCAGGAGTGAGATTTCTGGATCATATGGTAAGTGTATGTTTAACTTTATAAGAAACTACCGAGCCAGCCCTGATGGCCTAGTGGTTTCAAGTTCAGCGCCCTCTGCTTCAGTGGCCTGGGTTCATTTCCCAGTCCTGGAGCCACACTACTGACTGGTCTATCAGTAGCCATGCTGTGGTGGTGGCTCACATAGAAGAACTAGAAGAACTTACAACTGTCATATACAGCCATGCACTGGGGCTTTAGGGAAAAAGGAGAAGAAAAAAGAGGAAGATTGGCAACAGATGTTAGCTCCGTGCAAATCTTCCAAAAAAAAAGAAACAACCAAGCTGTATTCCAGAGTTACTATACCATTGCACATCCCCACCAGCAATGTATGAGGGTTCCTGTTGCTCTGCAGTCTTGGCAGCATATTTAATATTGTCCGTTTTGTTTTATTTTATCTATTAAAATAGACATATAGAGTTATCTCACTGTGGTTTTAATATGCATTTCCTTAGTGGCTAATAATGTTGAGTATTTTTTCATGTACTTATTTGCCTTCCATATATCTTCTTTGGTGATGTGTCTGTTGAAATCTTTTCCAATTTTTAGGGGTTTGTTTTCTTACTGCTGAGTCTGAGAGTTCAGGTATATGATTTGCAAATACTTTATACCGATCTGTGGATTGTCTTTTCATTCTCTTTCACAGTATCTTTTGTACAGTAAAAGTTTTAAATTTTGATGAAATCCAATTTATTAGTTTTTCCCTTCTATGGATTTTTATTTTGGTGTCATTTATCAGAACTCTTCACCTAACTCCAGGTCATGAAAATTTCCTCCTATATTTTCTTTGAAACATTTATGGTTTTACATTATACATTTAGATCTGTGATCCATTTTGAGTTAATCTTTAACTGTGAGATTTAGTTTGAAATTTATGTTTTTGTATATGGATGACCAATTGTCCCAACACCATTTGTTGAAAAGACTATCCTTTCTCCATTGAATTGTGTTTCCATCTTTGTCAAAAATCAATTATCCATTTATGTGTGGGTCTATTTCTGCACTTTATAGTCTGTGTCATTGATCTTTGCCAATACAATGCTATCTTAATCACTGTAGCTTTAGAGTAAGTCTTAAAATCAAGTAATATGTGTCCTCCAACTTAATTTTTGTTTTTCAAAATTGTCTGGCTATTCTAATTCCTTTGCCTTTCCATACAAATTTTATAATATGCTTTTTTCTACCAAGAAAAAATCCTGCTGGGATTTTAATAGGAATTGCATTAAATCTATCGATTAGTTTGAGGATAGCTGACACCTTCACTCTATTGAGTCTTCCAATCTGTAAACCTTGTATGTCTCTCCACTTATTTAGGTCTTGTAAAATTTCTTTTATTAGTGTTTTGTAATTTTCAGTGCAAAGATGCTGCACGTTTTGTTAGATTTATGCCTAAGTATTTCATTTTTTGAGCTACTGTAAATGGTATTATTTTTGTAATTTAGGTTTCCAATAGTTTGCTGTTGGTATATAAAAATATGACTGACTTTTATATGTTGACCTTGTATTCTGCAATCAGGCTAAACTCACTTATTAATCCTAGGAGGTTTTTTTTGAGTTCTTGAGATTTTCTATGTAGATAAGCATTTCATATTCTGTTTTATTTCTTCACTCCAATATGCACGCTTTTAAATCTTTCTATTTTCCTTCTCCAATTTACCTGCTGCCAACTACTTTTCAGCATTCTCAGATGGCTGCTCCAGGCTTTCTGTTAAGGATTTTTAGTTGCCTTAAGTGGGGTAGACAGAGTGACATGTACTTATTTCATCTTAACCAGAACCAGAACTCCAAAAGGCATTTATTTGTAATTTTGATGGTTTCAATCAGATTGGTTTCAAAATGACCATACTAGTTATCCACCAGCATTGTATGAGAATGCCCTTTTGGGGCTGGCCCGGTGGTGCAAGCGGTTAAGTGCTCACGCTCCGCTGCAGCGGCCCGGGGTTCGCCGGTTCAGATCCCGGGCGCACAGTGACGCACTGCTTGTTAAGCCATGCTGTGGTAGCGTCCCATATAAAGTAAAGGAAGATGGGCACGGATGTTAGCCCAGGGCCAGTCTTCCTCAGAAAAAAAGAGGAGGATTGGCATTGGATGTTAGCCCAGGGCTGATCTTCCTTAAAAAAAAAAAAAAAAAAAAAAGAATGCCCTTTTACTCACAAGCCCACTAGTAATAATTCTTATAATTTTGCCAGTCTGATAGGTATAAAATGCTATCACATTGGTATTCTATTTTGCATTTCCCTGTAGTGAAAATTTATCATATTTTTGACCATTCTGATTTGTGTTTATATATAAACACATATACCTATGTATGTATGTTATGGGCTGAACTGTGCTCCCACCCAAATTCATATGTTGATGTTCTAACTCCTAGTACTTCAGAATGTGATTACATTTAGAGATAGGGTCTTTAAACAGGTAATTCATTAAAATGAGGCCATTAGGTGGGCCCTAATCCTACATGACTGGTGTTCTTATAAGAAGAGCAAATTTGTACACAGACATGTGCATGCACAGAGGAAAGACCATGTGAGGGCACAGAGAGAAGGCGGCCAACTACAAGCCAAGGAGAGAGGCCTCAGAAGAAACCAATTCTGCTGACACCTTGATCTTGGACTTCTAGCCTCTAGAATCGTGAGGAAATATATCTCTGCTGTTGAAGCCACCCAGTCTGTGGTGTGTTTTAGTATGGGCTACCTGGACACGGAACAGTTAGTGGAAAGTTGTAATATGGAAGGAGATGAGGAGACAAGAGGGAGGGGCAGCCAAGTAAATAGTGAAAGGATCATGTTGTACACCTTAAATATATACAATTTTTATTTGTCTATGCCTCAATAAAGCTGTAAAAAAAAGATATTGGTTTTTTTATGTATAATATCTTGATTAATTTGACTGTTAAATTGCTATAGCTGGCAATCGTTTTACATATGTAAAATTGCATTCCATTTGTATTTCATATGTAATTTACCAATTGCCTGCATTTTATATTAAGGATGGATTATGCATGCTTGGGTAAATGAAAGCTGTGTCTTATTTGATTTATCCTTTAAAAGTAAAGTTCTCTGAATATTTGTTGCCTTCTAAAACAAAAAATACACATTATCTGAACATATTTATGCATTTATATAAAATTATATACATTCATATGTAACAATTTTTAAGGGAATATGACTCTTACTTGGCATATAATTAATCCATTAGCTGGACATCAATTTGATGGCTTCAATTTCCCTTTGGTGGCTTCAATTTCCCCTTATCCATTACCCATTGGACTCAAGTGCTGCTTTACTTACTGTGCATGATATTGGAGACTTGGAACTCTGGATCCTTGGGCTGCACTCCATCTGCATTGGGGAGGAAGCGCCGCATATTCTCTGTGAGGTACCAGCTTCGATTCTCATCAAATACAGAAAACAGGATGACATTTCTCTTGTCTGACATCATCTGTTAGTTACATACATTGAAAGAAAGAAAGAAATGCTACTAGTATTGTCAGATAGGAATTAGCAGCCTACGATGAAAGTGATAGCATACATGCAATATACCTATAATCCTTTGGCTCAATTCCATTTCTCTCTAGGATCACTATGATGGCACATACCAGAGCCTGGGTGTGGGAGTGGGTACTAGGAGCCATGAGTGTATGTTTGGAGCAAATGTGTCCTCAGGGCAAGAGGGTGACTGGACCCATTAAACTTAGTTTCTTCTGGATCTGTAACCTCATTCTCTCCATATTCAGATTAGAGGATTTTCACTCTTTAAAGACCCAAGTGATTATTCAGTGTCTTTCTTAAACAAGTTAGTCAAGTCAAGTAAGATTAATGCCTGTCCTAAACTTCTATCTATTAACCACCCTTCTGCAAGACTACCAATCTATAAAAAATTAAAAATAGAAAACAGAAATCAAATATCAAAGCTAAGATGAACCATAAAATGTTAACTAACACTAATATCTTGTTTTCTGTTTAAAAAGTTTTAAGTCTTTTTCAGAAAAGCAGTTTGTATATGAACCAAAGTCATGAGTTAGTCCCTCACTAGTTGAATCTCCTAAGATTTAATGTGTAAACTTCACTAATATGTATAAATTTCATTTTGTATAACCTATCACTAAAGAAACCAAAATGCAGAGGGGAAGAGATTGGAGGTACATTTCAGTTCTCTTCCATAAACTGGTGGAAAAACTATAATTAGAAACAATTTGTCAGGACAGGTACTCTCTGGGTTTGTGTGACATATGTTTTACCTGCATTAAAGTTCATGTGCTTTACCCTCTAAACCAATGAAATGTATTCAGACTAGTGGGGATCCTATGTATCATAAATAACCAAATGGACATGTAGTCAAGGCTCAGCAATATGGCAATGAATTATTCTGGAACTAAGCAATGAGTTTCTGTGAAGAATTAAGCTTTTCTTACTCAGAGAATTTTATTTTCTTAAAGCAGCAGAAATGGTCCAAATTCTAACCATATCCGAAATATTTTCTATCTTTCTCTGTATTTTTCCTAACAGATATTTATTGAACTCCTACTAATGCCGTGCACTATGCTACATGCTACAGATATGTTAATTTTGAGGTATTTTTGTGTCACTCATGATGAGATGTCCAGGAGAGAATTCTAGGCTGTGATATAGATTTGTGGGACAACTAAAAATAGGTGGCAATAGCATGTAAAAATGGGCAAAACCACCTACTGCGAGTGGAATTTTAAACTGGGAATGAGTATTATAGAAATAATCTAGGGCCCAGGCTCTCCTATCCATCCAGCAAGCAAGTTTATTACACCAAAGTCCAATTCAGTAACAGCTGTGAGAAATCCAGCTCATTTGTTGTATTGGCCAACATTGCAGACTACTATATTGTCAGCAGGATTTAGGGGGGCATACACTGAGAAAACATAGGAAATATTATCTGGAAGTTCATATGTATCATCATTCCATGTTTAGCTTCAAATCCAGCACTTGGAAAGAGAAGAACTCACCTGGTTTCCTCTTTGATCTACAGATTCTTTGTAGCAGATGAGGAGAGGGCCAATGAGTCCTGAAGCTAGATCTCTCTCTAGATTAACAAAGCTCGTGTAATATCGGGTGAGGCACCGAGGATCTGATTTAGTTGGCCCATCTTCTACAGTCACTGTCCATTTATACTTGAATATCTCTCCTGGCAGAATTGGCATATCTTTCAAATGTTTCACACCTACCCACACCCAAACCCCAAAATATCTTGATTAGAATATAACAAGCAATATATTGTTAATTGTGTTGTTATTGCAAGGGGTCTACAAATTTATAGGTACATATGAAGTTTCTCAATAAATGGAAACTAAATTTGCACCTATTGTATGTTTAAGATTCACAATTTTTTACAATAAAAATGGGTCCAGGAAATTTTTGCTAGCATAACTAGTTTGACTTGAAATGGGCAGATCTACCCACTATTACAAATACATAGAAATATTAGATAATAACATTTTTTAAATATTTTAAATACATAGCTGAAAATATACGAAGAAGAAAAAAAATCCCAAGTGCTAAAAAAAGAGACTAAAGCCAGAGTGGTAAAGCTACAGTTGATGATCCAGTTGACCGTGAGAGTTTCAGGCCTGAATATAGGCCACCGAAGTTTTAACTCACATATGGTATCAAGAGATATGGTATCTGATCTCTGTGAGGAGCAGGAGCAATATTTGAGACCTGCCCTTCGGCTAATGGGTCCTCAGGGCAAGAACCGTCTGATTTTAGTAATTAAAACTCACTTCAGGGTATGTTTAATAGCTGAAGATACAGTCTAAATCAAAATTTCAACTTTATATCCATTCTAAGATCTTCCTCATCCCTGTTAGGTTAAGCCTGACCTATGGTTAGGGAACCTACAAAAAGAGAATGGCATGGTATCTTCTTTCAGTATTTCTCAGCCTTTTCTCTTCCCTTTTCCAGGAGCTGGAAGTGATGGTGGATGGGTATTAGAGGAAAGGGCAAATAGACTTTTCCTTAATAGGTCCTGCTGTTTGAGCACCCTCTCTTTGACAACACTATTTGGTCACCAATGCTTCCTGTGTGGCAGGTGCCCAAATGCTGGTCTTTTCTTAGGACACGTGTATGGTTTCCTTGGAGTCTCCATGGGGACCTCGGCACTGCATAGTTCCATGACATGAGAGCTGTTTACTTCAGCTATCCTTCTGCAACCCTCTTCCCCCCATCACCTCTTTTTACCTTCAGTGATATATGCAAGAGACTATTATTCCTGGTATCCCTCACTATGCCAGATTGCCTTCTTAGGCAGAGTATCTTCAAAAGAGATCAAGCCAGCTACTTTCGACAGTATCCACTTACTACAGAGAAAACTCATACATTCAGATCAAAAAACAGAAGGGCAGACTGCTCCATTCTTACCCTCTCTTCTTGTCTGCTAGTATGGGCAGTACAGCCTTCAGAATTCTCCACATAAAAAGCAAATCACTAGTAACTGTGTTCATGCACGCCTCTAAATTTCAGAGTGTACATTCAATATCTCCTCAGAATTCTGTTACCATGCCCTTCTCCCATATAGGAATGCAAATCAAACTGGCACTAGAATTCTCATCGGCAACAATGAATATTAGAAAAGAGTGGATGGATCTACATACTGTTTTCCATAGTGGCTGCACCAGTTTACATTCCCACCAGCAGTGCACAAGGGTTCCCTTTTCTCCACATCCTTTCCAACACTTGTTATTTCTTGTGTTTTTGATAATAGCAAATCTGACGGGCGTGAGGTGATATCTCATTGTGGTTTTGATTTGCATTTCCCTAATAATTAGTGATGTTGAATATCTTTTCATGTGCCTGTTGGCTGTCTGTATATCTTCTTTGGAAAAAATGTCTATTCAGACCCTATGCCCAGTTTTTGATTGGGTTGTTTATTTTTTTTTTTTTGCTATTCAGTTGTATGAGTTATTTATATATTTTGGATATTAACTCCTTATCAGATATATGATTTGAAAATATCTTTTCCCATTCGGTAGGTTGTCTTTTTGTTTTGTTGATGATTTCCTTTGTTGTGCAGAAGCTTTTTAGTTTGATGTAGTCCCATTTGATTATTTTTACTTTTGTTTCCCTTGCCTGAGGAAACAGTATGGAGATTTCTCAAAAAATTAAGAATAGTACTATCATATGGTCCAGCTACTCCAGTTCTGGGTATTTACCTGAAAAATATGAAACCACTAATTTGAAAAGATATATGCACCCCTATGTTCATTGCAGCATTATTCACAACAGCTAAGATTTGGAAACAACCTAAGTACCCATCAACGGATGAATGGATAAAGAAGATGTGGTGTATATATATATGTATACACACACACACACAATGGAATACTACTTAGCCATGAAAAACACAAAATCATGCCATTTGTGACAACATGGATGGACCTTGAAGGTATTATGCTAAGCAAAATAAGTCAGATGGAGAAAGACAACTACCATATGACTTCACTCACATGTGGAAGATAAACAAACAAACAAACAAACATAGATATAGAGAACAGATTGGTGGTTACCAGAGGGAAAGGGGGTAGGCAGAAGGAGAAAGCGGTAAAGGGGGACATTTGTACGATGATGGATGGAGACTAGATTTTTGGTGGTGAACACAATGTAGTGTACACAGAAGTCAAAATAAAACGATGTACACCTGAAATCTATATAACATTATAGACCAATGTGACGTCAATTAAAAAAAAGAAAAAAGTGGATGGAAAACTATTTATCACCAGCCTATCTATACATCATATTATACTGAAGGACTCGTAAAGTTTACCCTCTATGTACTAAATGTATTTGGAAATTACTTGAAGATATACTTCCAGAACAACAAAAGAAATTAAAAACAGAAAGGTACAAGATAATGGCACTAACCTACAAGTCCAAAGAAAAGCATCCAAAGATGGCAGCTCAGAAACACACACTAAAATAATATAAATGCTGTTCTTTTTATTTTTAAAGTTTAGAATAAATATATATACAAATCAAGGAGTTATTTAAGATTGTAGTATAAAATGTAAATATTATCAACTTTAATTTTATCAAAGTAAAGGTATGGCTGGCAGCAGTTGAGAAATATTTTTAAAGTTCTAATGATAGCCAATTCAGGAACTAAAAACACCAATAAAAGTCTAAAACAACTGGAGTGGGAAGAAGCACAATGCTAAATTCTTGTTTAACACAAAATAAAGTAAATACATAATGTCTAAAGTTGAAAAACAAAGGATTATCATATATGTAATTTTTTAGAGATATACAGATAACCAACCACCAAAAACCTAAAACAGAAATGCTTAAAAATGGATGCCTCCAGGGAGTGGGACTTACAGCCCTTTTGTAGTTTTAAGTATCTATTATTTTGATAAAATATTCACCCAAAATTAAAGAATAGAAAGAATATGTATAACATCCAACCTACTAAAGGAAAAATATATAACAAAGAAAACCACTGACAAAAGAAATAAAATAATTGTAAATAAAAATATAAAATTATCAGAACACATACAAACAGATCAATAGTAATACAAACGTGACTAGGCTGAAAACAAAACTAAACCCAGATATATGCTCTTTACATGGGCCAGCCTAACACAAGATAAACCAAAATATGGGAAAATAACAGCAAGAGAAAGATAAACTAGCTAACCATGTGTAGCAATACTAAAATTAGCAAAATAGAATTCAAGTTTAGGAGCATAAAACAGAACCAAGAAGGATATTTTTATTGATAAAAGGTACAATCCATGAGAAAGATGTCATGAATTTTTAAACAACAAAAAACATAGCAAATAAAAACTAGAGTTGTGTACTATTCTGAAATGAAAGGTAAAGAGATTACTAGATATCAAAAGTGTGGAATGTAGCCAAAACCTCTATTCAGAAAAAAATGTATGACCTTAAATGCACCTCCTAAGAAAAAGTAATGCCTATAATCAAAAAAAGTAAGAAGATAAATGATAGATAGAAAGGTAAACAACCCAGCAGAAAAATAATAAATGGAGAAATGAACAGGAAATTCACAGTAGAGGGAATCCAAATGGCCAATAAAATGCAAACAGATGGTCAACACTACAAGAAATTAAAATTAAACCAACAATGAGACATGACTTTTCACGAAAAAGATTGACAGGATTTTAAAAGACTATTATTGTCTAGCTATCAAGGATGTGGGAAATTATATTTTCATACACGACTAGTAGGAGTGCAGATTATTACTTCATTTGGGGACAAAGGTCTGGCTGTTTATTAAAAATATATGTATATACACCGTGACTCAGAAATTCCAGTTTGAGGTCAGTAAACTTGAAGATATATCAATAGAAACTACCCACTCTGCAGAAGAGAAGGAGAAAGATAAAAAGGAAAGGATCAGAACATTACAGCATGTGGGACAATACCAAGAGTCTCAAGAAAGGGGACAAAGAACAGGGTTGAAAAATATTTGAAGAAATAATGACCAAAATCTTCCAAATTTGGTGAAAAACATAAATTTACAGATCCAGAAAGATCAGTGAATCACGAGTAGGATAAATTTGAAGAAAACCACAGCCAGAGAAAAATGATGTACAGGGGAATAATGAGTCAATGGAATCTAGACTTAGTTATTATAAAGGCCAGAAGACAGCAAAACAAAATTTCGAAAGCACTAAAAGGAAAAAAAAAAAAAACTCTCAACTGAGAATTCTATGTCCAGTAAAATTATCCTTCAAAAGTGAAAGCAACATAAAGACATTTTCAAATATAAAATTAAGGGAATTTATCTCTAGCATACTTCCACTACAAGGAATGTTAAAGGAAGTTCTTCAGGCTAAAGGGAAATGAATGGAATGGAAGTGATGCCAGAAGGAAATTTGGATCTTCAGGAGGCGTGAAAAGCATGGGTAAACATGAAGGAATATTTTTTCTCATAATTTTCTAAAACTACATATGACTATTTAAAGCAAAAATGATAGGATTTTCTTGTGGGCATTGTAAAGTATATAGATGTAATACATGTGGAAATTATAGCATAAAGGATAGTAGGGTGATAAATGTGCCTATATGCTAGATAACTGCTGGGGCAAGGGCCAGCATCATTTTAGTTGTTACGGAGGCTGTGACCTCATCTGTATCTACAGGTAAGTAAGACCTATAAAACTGAGGTAACACTTACCTTTTGGCAACCTCCCTGAGTGCAAAGGACTGACATCAGTGATTCCATGAGGGTAGATGTTATATGGTCGGCTTGCTTGATTCTTAAATATAATCTGAAAGTGTAAATGAGATATAAGATCAAATACTAAGACAACTAAGATCAACAAGAAAAGTGTGGCCTATCTCCAGAAAACAAAAGCTGCCTTGCATCCACATTACAGGGGTTTGAGCCGAGATGAAGCTCAAAACATTTGTTCTTTTCATAAAATTGCTCAGACAGATACTTAGGTTTCTCACTAAAGGCCACTTTCCATTTCTTTAAAATTATTACAATTGTTTCCGGAAGTTTTCCTTGCACCTTCTCACACTAATTGAAATTTGGATGTCTGCTGAGGACACTGCTTCCCCTCAGCCTTTTCCATCATTTGGGCACTGAATTCCCCAATAGTGGAGAGGAAAACAGTGACTCAGATGATAAAATTGTCACTGAATGAGCAGGCATGACTAGGAGGACAGCTGATTACAGCATTAAGCAAGGGTGGTAGCCAGCATTGTCTGATTGCATGAGCTTTAAAACAGAGGAAGGATGAAAGAGCAATAACATGGAAGTAACAGTTAAGAACCCTGAAGACATCAACCCAGCCTCTAGATCTGAGGTTGTTTGATATGAAGATAAAAAAACCAACTTCCACTTGCATTCTTGTCTTAAAACCCACTCATTTGGTAAAACCCACTAAACAGTCTATTCTTTGCCTGCACCTAAGCAGCAGAATGACGTAGGAGAAAAATCACACAGCTCTGGAACTAGTCTCTTCAAATGCATGACCACAAATCTCAAGTGGGCACTCAAGCTACCTAGCTATCCTATTATGTTTTCCTAGAAATTCACCTTCCCGCTTACTTAGTTGACTAATATTTGCTTCCTAATCCTCACTCTCGAGTGCTTAAGCACTCAGAAAAGAACTTCCTCATCCTCCCGCCATCAGATCTACCCACCTATATGCATATATGGCCATATTCTATCCTGTTAAAAATCAGCTCCTACCTAGTGCCAACATCTCCTCTTTTGCGCTAGTACACAATAAGGTTGTAGCATCTTCCATTTTAAAAGCTTCCTTTCGGAACAGAGTAGAGAGCCCAGAAATAGGCCCACACAAATATAGTCAACTGGTCTTTGATAAAGAAGCAAAGGCAATAAAATGGAGCAAATATAGTCTTTTCAACAATTGGTGCTGGAACAACTAGACATTCACACGCAAAAAAAAAAAAACAATCTAGACACAGACCTTACACCTTTTACAAAAATTAACGCGAAATGGATCATAGAACTAAATAATATTTTTGGAATTCTTCTGTATGTGAGAAGAATTGTCTTCTCACATTGTCTCTACTCCCTCATTTATTTATTTATTTATTTATTCAGTCGTTTATTTACATCAATAAAGACTCATGGATATTTATTTTATACTTTGGGGTATAATCCAATAGTATTTTATTTATTTTGTTGCTCAAATTCTTCCACCTTGGCCAAGTTAGCTCCTGTACCCCTTTGATATTGTTCTATCCTTTTATTTTTTGAGCACTTTCTTACTTTCTGGAACCACAAGATGCTCTGGGCTCATCTTGTATTTCCCCTGGCCCAGCCCTAGAATTATCCATTTCTCCAAGGAGCCTTGGTTCCTTTTATTAGAGAATGGTATTAGAAACAATGTATTACCTTTTTTATATATTGCTGTATTGAGTTTATTAAATTTTGTTTAGGATTTTTTGAATCCTATGTTTATAATACAATTGGTCTGTAATTTTAATTTTAATTTTAAATTACAGACCCTGGTCCGGTTTACAACCAAGGTTATGCTAGCCCAATAAAAAAGAACTGCTGGGTCTTTCCTTTCTTATACCCTACATTAAAATTTTTAATGTACAATTATGTATTCCTTGAATATTGGTATAAATTGCCAATAAAATGGCAATTTTTGCTAGGTTGATAGTGATTTTCTTTCAACACAGTAAAGACATGATTCCATTGTCTTCTGGCTTCTTTTGTTGCTCTAGAGAAGTAAGCTGTCAGTTTATGTGGCAGGGGCCAGCCCCGTGGCATAGCGGTTAGGTGCACATGCTCTGCTGCTGGCAGCCTGGGTTCGGATCCCAGGCGCGCACCGACACATCACTTGTCAGGCCATGCTGTGGTGGCGTCCCATATAAAGTGGAGGAAGATCGGCACGGATGTTAGTTCAGGGCCAGTCTTCCTCAGCAAAAAAAAAAAAAAAAAGAGGAGGATTGGCATGGATGTTAGCTCAGGGCTGATCTTCCTCAAAAAAACAAAAAAGAAAATAAGTTTATGCGGCAGTTTTAAAACATGTCTCCCAAATTCTTCGACACTCCTCACATCAAGATGTAGGCCAAATTTTCCCACTCCTTGATTCTGGGTGGGCTTTGGCTGCTTTGACTAACAGATTATGGCATAAAGTACTGTGTGACTTCTGATGCTGGGTCATAAAATGTGATGTACTTTCTGACTTGCTTAGTGGAACACACACAGTTGGAGCCCTGAGCCACCAGGTAAGAAGGCCCTATACTGAGGCCATCATGGTGTGAGGAAGCCAAGGCACATGGATAGGCCATGTGCTCTGGCTGGCAGTTCTAGTCTTTGAGTCTTCCCCATTCAGGTGAGTGAAGCTATGTTGGTCCCTCCAGATCCGCTGATTACCATCAAGGGACCTTCAGTCAATGCCAAAGAGATAAAGAATTGCCCAACTGAGCCCTGGCTGAATTTGACACACATAATCTGTGAGAATAATAAAATGGCTGTTGTTTCAACCACTGAGTTTTGAGGTTGTAGGGTACACAGCAGTAGTAACCAGAACAATTTTATTATCATTTCTTTGAATGTAATCTGTTTTTCCTGTCCGATTTTCTGTCCAGTTTTAAAACATGTTTATTGAGGTATAATTTATATACCAAAAAATTCACCTATTTTAAGTGTACAATTCAATGATTTTTAGTAAATTTATAGAATTTTGCAATCATCACCATAATCCAGAATTAGAACATTTCCATCAGCCCAAAAAAGATCCTTCATGCTGGGTTACAGTCAATCCCTGCTCCCACCCCTAGCCCCTGGCAACCACTAATATGCTTTCTGCTCTATAAATTGGCCTTTTATGGATATTTCATGTGAATTAAATCATGTAATATGTAGGTCTTTTTTGTTTGACTTCTTTAACATCATAATATTTTGAGTTTCATCCATGTTGTATCATGTATGAGTAGTTCATTTCTTTTAATTGCTGAATAGTGTTCTAATTATATGGATATGCCACATTTTGTTGGTCCATTCACCAATTGGTGAACATTTGAATGGTTTTAGTTTGGGGATACTATGAATAGTGCTGCTATGGACATTTGCATACAAGTCTTTGTATGGACCTATGTTTTCATTTGTCTTGAGTATATGCCTAGGAGTGGAATTGCTGGATCACATGGTAACTCCATCTTTAACATTTTGAGGAATTGCCAAACTGTTTCACAAAGTGACTGCAAAATTTACATTCACATCAGAAATTTGTGAGGGTTCCAATTTCTCCACATCCTCGCCAATACCGGTTATCTGTCTTGTTGACTATAGCTATTCTAGTGGATATAAAATGGTATCTCACTGTGGTTTGGATTTGCATTTTCCTGATAGCTAATGATGTTCAGCATCTTTTCATGTGCTCGTTGGCCATTTTGCACATCATCTTTGGACAAATGTCTGTACAAATCCCTTGCTCATTTTTCACTTGGGTCATTTGCCTTTTTATTATTGAGTTGTAAGAGTCCTTTATATATTTTGGATACTAGATACTTACCAGACATATGACTTGCAATCATTTTTTCCCATTCTATGGGTTGTCTTTTCACTTTCTGGTTGGTGTCCTTTGAGTCACAAAAGTTTTTAATTGTGATGAAGTGCAATTACCTATTTTTTCTCTTGTTGCTTGTTGCTTTTGGTGTCATATCTAAGAAACTATTGTCTAATCCCAGGGTACAAAGATTTACTCCTATATTTTCTTCTAAGGGTTTTATAGTTTTAGCTCCTACATTTAGGTCTTTGATCCACTTTAAGTTAATGCTTGTATATGGTGTAAGGAAAGGGTCAAACTTCATTATTTTGCATGTGGGTATCCAGTTGTCCCAGCACTATTTGTTAAAAAGACTATTCTTTCCCCATTGATTGGTCTTGGAACTTTTGTCAAAAGTCAAGTGACCATAGATATAAAGGTTTATTTCTGGTTTCTCAATTGTATTCCATTGATCTATATGTTTGTCCTTATGCCAGTACCGCACTCTTGATTACTGTAGCTTTGTGGTAAGTCTTGAAATCAAGAAGCATGAGTCCTCTAACTTTGCTCTTCTTTTTTCAAGATTCTTTTGTCTATTGGGGTCGTTTGCAATTTCATCTGTATTTTAGGATCAGCTTGTCAATTTCTGCAAAAAAGACAGCTGGGATTTTGATAGGGATTGAATTGAATCTATAGATAAATTTGGAAGAGTCTTACCAGTAATTGACTCTTCCACTTCATGAACATAATATGCCTTTCCATTTATTTAGATCTTCTTTAAATGATCTCAGCAATGATTAGTAGTTTTCAACGTACAAGTCTTGCACCTTTTTGTTAAACTTATCCCAAATTCTTTTATTTATTTATTTGTTTTTAACATTTTTTTATTGATGTTTTAATAGTTTGTAACATTGTGAAATTTTGGGTTGTACATTTTTGTTTGTCCATCACCATATATATGTCTCCCTTCACCCCTTGTGCCCACCCCCCACCCCCATTGCCCCGGGTAACCACAATACAGGTTTCTCTGTCCATGTGTTGGTTTATATTCCACATATGAGTGAGATCATACA